TTGACAAGGACCCAGGAAACTCTTCCTGGGCAGAACACCCTCTGACCCGTGTTTAGGCACCACTACATCCTAAACTCTTTGAAGGGATAGTGTCATGTCCTCTCTGGAATGCCTAAGGCGTACTCAAATGGAAAGGCTTAGCAAGTTAACTAGATTATATGTTTCTCTGTGGCTTCTCCCTAGTGGGGGAAAGAAAAGAGTCTTGTAGAGAACAACCTGATCGTTGCAGATCAGCTCCAGCTTAGCACTCACAGAGGAAAAAAAGCCTAATTCATCCTCATGTGACAAGCTGAAGGTCGTGTTTCCATAGAAAACCAAAAGTTGTGTTGCTGCCTGACCGCAAAGCCTCTTTGGGTACTTCTCCACTGTGTGTCTGGAAAGATGACCCCCATTCTGTCTGTCTTCTGACACAATAGCTAAATTTTTCCTGGTTTTGAATTATGCTTAAATGGAATCACAGCACATATGTTCTTTCCACACTGGTGATATTTTTAAAATATAGATTGTGGTGGTTTGAAAGAAAATGACCGCCAAAAGGAAGTGCACTATTGGGAGGTGTGGCCTTCTTGGAGTGGGTGTGGCCTTCTTGGAGTGGGTGTGGCCTTCTTGGAGTGGGTGTGGTCTTATGGAGAAAGTGTGTCATGGTGGAGGTGGGCTTTGAGGCCTCATAATCCACAAGCCACGTCCAGTGTTTCAGTTCACTTCCTGCTGCCTTTGGATCAAGGTGTAGAATTTTCCAGCACCATGTGTGCCTGTACACTGCTATACTCCCAGCAGCCAGGGTTCCCACCATGATGATAATGGACCAAACCTCTGAAACTGTAAGCCGCCACCTCAATTAAATGTGTTCCTTTAAGAGCTGCCGTGGTCATGGTGTCTCTTCACAGCAGTCGAAACCCTAACTAAGACATAGATAAATAGCAAAATTTGCAGTCATATAAAAATATGCACAACACACACAATTTTTAGATTTTAAGTGACAAAGATTTGAAGTGAGTCAATCAATGTAAATAAGAGACTGGATTAAAAAAAAACCTGTCTCATACTTTCTGTTTCACTGATCATTCACCATACTGTTTAATTTTCTAACACTATATGAAGCAGACAGAATTGGTACCCTCTCCATCTTCTTTGTGTTTTTCTTCTTCCATCTCCCACCCACCCTTTTTAAACTTAGCCCTATTTCACGTTGCTATAAACAGAACATCACAGGCTGGGTAATTTGTAAAGAAAAGAGTTGCTTCTTACAGTTTTAGAGACTGGGAAGGGCAACTCAAGGCACAGTATCTGGCCAAGGCCTTCCAGATGTGCCTTCCTGTGGCACAGGGCGTGACTTAGTGACTGTGTGAGAGATGAGAGGGCCGGACCTACCTAGCTGACAGCCCACTCTCAACAGCAGGGATCACGGGTAGAGCCCTGGTGACCCCAGCATCTCTGTAAGGTCTTACCCCAGAAGGAAGAGGTGCATTGGGGAGTTCTGTCGCTCACAGATCCTCCCAGTGTTAACTGATCATGAAAAGGTTGACTCACAGTCAGCGGCTGCCCCCTGCCAGGGGCCCCACCCACACGCTGGAATGAGATTTGGTACGGTTGTTAGTGATGCATGGCACTGGGAAAACATGGCTCAGAGGCAGAGGAGCCTTTTGTAAAGTTCTGCGAACCTTGTGGCAATGCCTCTTATGTTATCCTTGAGGACCAGAGGCACAGCTGTGTGACTGTCAGATAACAACCTGGCCCTGGGCTGGGCTGTAAAGCTGATCTACAGGTGACAGGCTTACGATGCAGAGAGATCTGATGACCAAAGAGGCCTGAAATAAGGCCGCAAACTCACTGAATTTAATGGTGATACACGTACGTTTCTGTCATCTAACACACCTCTGAGATAAGAGGGGCTGCCTAGAAGTCACCCACGTATGAAAAGGGCCAGAGGATTCCAGGTGGCTGTCGGGGTGATGTGTAGGCCACTTGAATCCTAGACTCGCTCAGATCAGCAGAGGTCTGTTCCCTTCCTTCTTTCTCCCACAGTCAGAAACACTTGGCTGCTGCCATTTCATCTGAGCGCTCCACTTTAGGAACAAAATGCTAAAGATGGAGCAGAGTTGAGGAGGGAAAAGGCGTTCTGAGTCGGAGGCAGCCTATGCTTCTCAGCCCTCTGAAGAGAGGTCAGGGGCCGAAGGGGGCTGCATGGCAGGCAGCCTTGGCAGGCATGCTGTTGTTTCTCAAGTAGCAAGTGCATTTTGACCAGGAGTTTGGGAACCTGCATAAACCAGAGGTGAACAGAGTTGAGTCACAGGGCAGCGTCCCATTCAGGAATAATTTAGCAGCCCGACTTCAAAAGTCTCTACATGAAAAGTTGACTTTTACTGGGATGGAAGTTGTATAGCTCAGTGGCAGAGTATTTGCCTAGCAAGGGCAAGGCCCTACATTCAATTCCCAGCACCACACATACACACAGAAATAAAAATGCCTTTTTATCAAAAGATACTGGTCCATTCCATTGGACACATGGGATACAGATCCCATTTTGGTCCACCATTCTTCCCTCCCCTGCTCAGCTCTATGTCTTCCAAAGTCCGTAGAAGAGCCTTGGCATATATGCCTGTACACTTACATAGAGTCAAGGAACGTCTCAATTTTCACAGCAACCATGGTACACACACACACACACACACACACACACACACACACACACACACACGCCAACTTTATGCAGAGGGAGCCTCTGAGGAGCCATGGTTTACCCAGGATCGCAGCGACTGGGAAATGGTTTAAGAGAAATGCCTCCAAGAGTTGGCAAGGTTTGCCTGCAGACTGTCTGGTCTATTGCCCTGGAAGGTGCAACAGGCCACATGCTTTTGATCTGGGAACAAAGACTTGCACTAGCATTATGTAGTGGCAAGTTTTAAACTAAGGAATCTGTTTTCTGCCCTCTAATTTGCCCTTCCCAGCGACTCTTCTGCTTCTGGTCTTTTAGATGTAAAGGATGTGTGTCAGGCCCTCTCACAGTCCGGAGAGACATGTAGTGTGACCCAAAAAGAAGAGACTCAGGGTGACAGAACTGTATTCTCTTTAGCCTGCCTCCTAAGCCAAATGCCCACCCTACCTCAGCTCAATTGCTTATCTTATGTGACTGCCTCTGCTCTCCAATTTCCTCGTTGACAAAGATTGCTCCAAAACCAGCCGGAAATGTGTTATTCTCAGCAAATTGCATTACCTCTAGGTAAGGAGGCATAGTACAGAGATCAGACCACTAGGCTACTGGACAGGCTAGCCAACGAGAAGACTCAGCTACTCTGAGAGAGGAAGCTGGGTTTCCACACACTTTCTAGTCTCCTGCCTACCAACAAATATTAGCAGATGAATTAATGAGTGAGTGAGTGAATGAATGAATGAATGAATGAATGCACAGCCTCATGCTCAGCTGCTACTTCTAATTATCAATAGGTAGAGTGGGCAACTTGTAGTTCCCCACCTACCTGAGTCCTTGGTGGCTTGGGGGCACTTGAAAGTCAAGTACATTTGTAAAATTTGCAGGCATTAGACTACACATTTGTATAATATACAGTAATTAAATTTCCCGGTTAATCAAATAATTTATTAATGAGGCAAAGTTGGCTCTAAGAATTTGCTCAAAAAGAAAAAAAAGGAAAAATTGATTCTATATGCCAGACCTCATCAAAGTCTTACAGAGGACAATTCCGAAAGTCTCTGGGACTCAGTGTGTAGCAAGAATCTGAGGAGCCACACCTACTGTCTCATTTGCTGGGGGTAGCAGGGGGAACATACACAGAAAGAAGAATGGAGGGAAATGGGTATCAGGGAAAGAAAACTGTCAGAGTCAGGAAAAGAAAGGGAGGAGATGAAGGGGAGGGGGTAGGAGGGAAGGGGAAGGGGGAAAAGAAAATTGGGAAAATGATCCAATGAAAAGAAAAAGGTTAGCCTGTCTTGCATCCTCCTTATGACAGGGGAGGTGGGGTCACTCCATCACGTTGGAAGACAAAGCTTGAGGGAGGAGAGTTGACCTCCCCCTGGTTGGAAATGAATATGAAGCCAAAGCCCTGTGGCGTTTTCCAATGGAGGAGTCGCTATTGAGCGGGAATTCAGCTCATTAGTATGGGGCGCTGATAATGATCTGATACCTCCTCTCATCCATTACTGATGGATGCCTTCCAGAAGACCTCCACACACTAACTCCTCAGCCAATTATGTGAACCCCTTTCCCCTTGATCCTCACCATTAACCCCAACACACTTCTGCCGGGAACTCAGGCTTTATTAATGGCAGCCATGTTCCCATACTTCTGATTTTTCTTGGGGCTTTGAGAGAGTCAGGAAGTGAGAGAATGAGAGAAGCCCCCAGAGTTTGGTTATCTTTTCAATGTTCGGTAGTGGCGCCTGAAAGCTCACAGCTGGTAATGGTGAGACCAGGCGCCCCCCATCCCAGATCAGCCCCCTCCCAGTGCTGACTAATTGATTAACCAAGGGCTCTTGAAGAGAATGATTTGAGGAGGTAATTTATAGCGATGGTATCTTTTGTCATCATTTGTCTTTGAAAACATAGGAGAAAACTGCTTTCGGGAGGATGCATCCGCCAACATGAGCAATGGCGGACGGAACCTCATCAGTTACAGCACACTGCTCAATTTTGTACCTTTCCAGCCAGTCAAATATCCAATAACCACAACGGGACGGGAGAAAACCCACATCTTCACTCCCCATGTTTTAAACTTTCCCAGCGTTAGCTTATGAAAATATTTGGGGTTGTTCACTGCTCTGCTCTCTGTAGCATAAACATTTATTTAAATGGGGCTGTCTCTAGTAATGAAGAATGAAGGAAAAACAATGGTCTGATTTTGACAAATTAACTTGTGATTTGGAGAGTCGGTGAAGCAGGGGAGAGACATTCCTAACTATACTAATTAAATGAGCTTGCAACATTTATTTTAATGCAATGGAACCAGCCATATGAAGATGAACATTTTAATTTATTTTGCAGTGACATTATGAAAAATTTCACTGTTGCAGATTATCTACAGAAACAAATCTCATCAGCATCTAGGACTGTGCAGGAAATCTCCATCCCTCAGGGCAGGAGCCTGACCTTCCCCTGCAGAAACCAGCATGAGTGACCTAGGCGGCTTGAAAAGTTCTTCTGAAGGCTGCATTTCCACCAATGCTGGGCTTTATGTCCAAGTGACTTCTGCGCCAAACACATCCATTTTTCATGGTGCAGCATAGATGAAAAATTCTGAATTCCTTCTATGGGGAATGCAAATATAGCTCATTAGTTCTAAAGCATTTTTCATGAAAGACTGCAGAGTATTTGCGGGCAGATGAGACTGCAGAGCCCCAGCCAAGAGTGAATACCACATGTCCCACTAATTGTCTTTTAAAGTTGCTCCTTTCCTCCCCGGCACCCAGTAGCTATTGAAAATAAGAAGCGATATGAAAAATGGAGCCTGGGCTTAGCTCTGGCATTGTTCTGTCTTGTGGGCATGAGTCTGCAGCATGTGTCGTGTGTGCTTTTCCCCCCAACCCCCCACCCGATCTGCATGAAGCCATTTTCTAGAAGGCGGCGGGGGGTAGGGGAGATTTGTGGATGATTGAAGCCTTCTGCTTCTCCTGGAGACAGAGTCTAGTTGTCAGTCATCTTGGGATGAAGGACAGTGTCCCTCAGTCCATAGCCAACACTGGCTCACAGGCACCAGGCAGACAAAATGGCCACTTTCCAGAGAGTGACTGGGTGGGCTGCTGGCTCCTGGCTGCTGCCACTCCCAGCTTTAAGGATTCAGATCAGGGATGTCTCTCTGGCTGACATTCTTCTGGGTCCTCTACCAAGGAACTGCAGAGGGGAGCAGACCACTCTCTCCGGCTAAGGCTAGACCTAGGGAGGATGCTGCCTAGGACAGTCCCGGCTGACTACCCCTTACAGAGTGGTGGGCGTGGGCCTTCACGCCCTGAAGACCCTGCTTCCTCCCAGCCCCGCCTTTTTTTCTGGAGGAGAACAGAGATGACACTACTCTGAAACCCTGCTTTCTATTAGAGTCCTATATGATCCTTCTTATCACAGTCACCACGAGTGAAAATGAGTATAGTTCTCAAATGTGACCATGGTACTCACTGGGGAGCTTCTTGTGGGGTCTACATTCATAGCATAAGTCAAGTTGTCTCCCCTCCAGGTTGGCGTCCTGAAGACCTGCTGCTCTCCGCTATCTTGAGAGTTCCGCCATCCCTGGGCACAAGAAACAGGACATCCTCATCCCCGGGGCCCCACGGGGGGGGGGGCTCAGTACTGTCACCTGAATATGGATGGACTGTGGGGTAGAGTAGTAGGGTTCACCTGGGGAAGGAAGATCTGCCCCTGGCCTGGAGGAACTTCAGCAAGCTCTGGAAGCCTTCTCAGGTTTTGGGCAGGCTCCCAGGCAGCTCCGGTCTCCAGTCTCTTGAAGACCCAATGAAGGCTGCGTTCTGTCCAAGAAGCAGGAGTGTGGGCCCTTCTCCTCCAGCCACGGGTGGCAGACAACCCTGGAGAGGGCCCGGTTAAGGATGCCTAAACAGTTCTGTGGGAACGGCAGCGAGCCTCCTCAGGAGTGCCCGTGGCATTAGAGAAGTAACTGCTGCCTGTACTTTCATTTCGTCCATTTCTGGTCAGCTCCACCGATTATTCCTATGATGTCTGTTTTGCATGGGAGAGATGCTGTGCTCAGAAGATGAAATGCACGTTTTTTGTGTGGCAGGGAATTAAATGAATTGCAAGCTGCCTGTCCTTAATGAGATCGTTCCTTCTTCCTTTACCTCCATATTCCCCCCCTACAAAGACCAAATGAGCCAGTCAAGGATTAGGAAAATTTCAGATTATGAGATTGGAAAGACCCACTTGGAATTCTGTTGCAGCTCAGCTGACAGCCTCCGGCAGATGTCCTATAGCAGTCTATCAGATGGTATCATGAGACTTCCTGTAACGAGGGGATAGGTTTGAAGATGGCTTTCTTCAGAAGATCTGGTACACGCTGGCCTTCAACCCAGATCCTTTCGATCTCTGACTTCTCAAGTTGTCTTCGAACCCCAGGAAACCCTGGCACATGGCAAGCATTCAGTAAGTGCTTGTGAAATAAAGTATACAGCAAGCTGGGGAGGGGTGGGTGATAGTGGGCCTTGGCATCTAGGCTCAGGCTAGTGGCCTTCACCTCCCCCAAGCCAACTGTGCTGGTTAATATTGGTTGTCAACACAACAGGACCTGGGGCCACTGAGGAGACACGTCACTGGGTTAACAAAGGTCGGAAGACCCACCCTAAAAGTGGGTAGCACCATTCCCTGGACCTGTGTCCGAGAGGGAGGAGGAAGCCACCCAAGCAGGATTGTTTATTACTGTTTCTTGACTGCTGATACAACGTGAGGGGCTCCTTGAAGTTCCAGTTCCCATGACTTCCCTGCCACTATGGGAGGTTCCTTGGTACTCTGAGCCAAGATAAACACTTCTGTAAGCTGCACTTGTCAGAGTATTTTCATTATATCAACATGAAACACAACAAATATATTGATGTATTAATTACTATCTTCCAGTCTCCAAGATAGCCTGTGATGGTTTGAATGAGAAATGTCCCTCATAGTCTCAGGGTTTGAACATTTGATCCTTTCTGCCACAGCATGCCATCCCCGTTGTAACAGACTCTAACCCTCTGGAAGCATGAGTCAAAAAGAACTTTTTCTTTTGCAAGCTGCCTTGGTTTTGTTTTGTCAGAGCAACAAAATAGAAACTAACACGCAGGTTGCTATGGTGGTCCAGGCAGAGCCATGGAACCCATTTAACCCCAGCTCTAATACTTTTTAACCATGTTTCCTTGGGCAAATTATTTCCCGAGTCTCGATTTTCTTAGCTGTCAAATGGTGGAAACAGTAATGGACCTTCTCTATAGGGTTATTGTGGGCACTACAACAGAACATGTTGTTGAAGGCTTGGAGGACAATCTCAACAGCTTATAGCTATAGTGATGACTCTGCTCCAGTTCTCCTGTGGCCCATTGGAAAGACAAGGAGAGTGGGATAAGACACTTGATTGACATGCTCTTACAGCTGGAGACTTGAAGGGTCTTCAGTCTCTTAGATCAATGTTTTTCTCTACAGATGTCAGAGCTGGGGTCTACTCCAGGATCATCGACTGCAAAGCCTCCAGAGACATAAGCTCCAACTAGGCAGGTAGCAGCATCATTGATTGGTTGACAAGTCCTTGGCAGAACTAGGTACTCGGCACTCCTTTATACCACCGTTGGGGAAATGGCAATGTAGGACAATGAAGGCATGAATTAAGATGCAGCCGGTTCACGGTAAACACATGGGAGATGGGTGGAAAGGCGTCATGCATACCACCTCCAGGTTATCGTAGACTGTGGTGTTAGTTGGCTGGTACCAATCCTCCCCTCACCCACAGACTCCTCTGTAGCAGTCACAAATGTAACTTAAGTCATACCTTCCAAGGGCAGAGAAAAGAGACATGATGACTAATCATAATTGTCAACTTAGCAGGATTTAGAATCACCATGGAAACAATCTCTGGGCATCCCTGTGAAGGGTTTTCCAGTTTAATTGAGGTGAGAAGACCCACCCTAAATGTAGATGGTACTGTTCTATGGGTTGGGGTCTTGAACTGAATAAAAAATGTTATTAATGTCCTTTACTTTCTGCTTGTGGATACAATACAACCAACTGTGTCAAGCTTTTGCCACGATGATGTTGTTGCTACCATGATGAACCGCGCCCTGAAGTCAAGCGTGTGTGTGTGTGTGTGTGTGTGTGTGTGTGTGTGTGTGTGTGTGTGTGTGTGTGTGTGTATGCTCTTCCTTCCGTAGATTGGCTTTGTCAGGGTATTTCACCACAGTGATAAGACAAGTAACTAATACACGAGGGCTCATTTATTTGCCTGTGACTGAGAGCGCCTCTCACTTGAGCCCCTATTAGCAGAGAGGAAAAACGCACTAATTCCCAATTCTGCTTGCATTCAGCCCATTAGTCCCTTTAGGTGGCATTTGCAAGGCTCTTTGATAATGCTGCTTTGGATTCTGTAGTCCTCCCTCCTGGTACTTCTTAGTGTAGGCGCTCAGCCTCCTCTGCTCACATAGTGATGCAGGTGTCTCCGGAAGACTGCTTCTCCTATTGGCAGTGGCAGCTGAAATTGGTGTATGTTCAGCTTCTGACCTAGGGCTTCTGCCCGAGAGAGCTCTTTAGCTCCTCCTGGCTGCTGACTCAGCGCAGCTGGCTGTGACTCAGTGGTCCACTCTGTAGCTCTCCATGTGGGGCCACCTCTTCCCTCTCACTGACCCTCTTTGGTAAGCCTTTGCTTAGCCAGACTTTGGGCTGTGTTTAGTTCCTGTCTGTGCTACACAGACCTCAAGAGATGAAAGAGATGCTTGTACCTGGATGATGACTTTACCCAAAGAAATGTATTTCTTGGGGTTTTGAGAGCTAGACCCCAAGGTCTGGCAGGGCTAGCATCTGGTGATGGTTCTCTCTATGGACTGTAGAAGGCCATCTTCTTCTGTGTCTGCCAATGACCTTCCTTTATGTGTATTTGTATCTCTCCCCTTAGAAGGCCACCAGTTCTGCTGGATTAAGAACCCAATCTTTATGATCACATTTAACTTTAATTATCAATCCCCCAGATGTGTTTTTTAATTTAGGGGTGACCTAGTACTAGGAATGACACAATTAAGTCCCTAGTTCTCTCTCTCTCTGTCTGTCTGTCTGTCTCTCTCTGTCTGTCTGTCTCTCCCTGTGTCTGTCTGTCTGTCCTCCAACCTGGTTACCCTGTGAAGCCAAGTTCTCAGGTAGAACTCTGAGAGGGGATTTCTTTCCACGGTTCAAAATAAGGTAGAAGGGACAGTAGCCTCTCCTAGCTCTAGATGTTGTCTAGTTCAGGAGAAATGATAGGTGTGTGGCTTGTAAATGAGGAAAAGAAACCAAGATGGCATTTCTAACAGCAAAGCAGAATGCTTGTGACTTGGGAGACCCGGGCTTTAATCTTGTAATGATTTTCTGTGTGACCCTAAAGTGACATAATTGCCTCTTGGGCTTCATCTCTTCTTCCACAGTTTAGGGGCTGATGACCTGGTTCCTAAGGTGATTAAAGTGTTCCAGCCAAAGACATGCTTGCAAAGGTCTTTTCTTACAAACACAAAATGCTGTTAGATGCATCCAATGGAAATGATGGAGACGAATGCATCACTCTCCAGAGGCCATGACATCTAGCAAACGAGCCACAGGCACTAACTACTGAAACCCCCGTTCCGCATGGTATGTATGACAACTTGGAGGGAAACTGGGTGTCACCATCTTGGAGGGCAAAGGAGAAGCATGGAGAAATGTGCCCAAGTGAATAGAGATGGATTCTATGAAACCCAAGACAACACACCAGACATTCTGCAGAAGCCTCCCATGGCTGTTTGTCAAAGAGAAGCAAATCCTCAGGGCGTTCTCTTTAATATACTTTTAGTAAATGTTTTATTGTGTTGGATTATGGGAATTAGGGGAATGAAGGATCCATACCATATTTTTCAAAAGCAATATTTTTAGAATCACAAATTATATTGAAATTTTTATACCAAGAAAATAAAAACAAAGATCAGAAGAACTAAACAGCATTTATATATGTCTCTACAGAGATATATATGTATATTAGCAAATTGAAATATAGCAAAAACACACAAAACACCCCCGTAAAAGAGATGCAAATTATATTTTTGACACATTTTCAGCACAATCACCTAATACAATTTTCTTTTATAGGCAGAGGTAATAAATAGTGCAAATGTATATTTATGGTGTGTTTGACAAATGCATTTGCTCTCAGTCAGGGGAAAAGCTCCAGTGATTTTACCATTGAAATGCCTCTCATCTAGCTTGGCTAAATTGCTCCTCTTTCTCCTGAATTCCTCACTGTGACCAAGTTGGAGGTGGCAAACACCTTTTGGTCTCCACCCTTGACGCATGTGTGGAATGTGAAACTGAGTCCACTTGAGACTTGGGTGTTCCTTGTTCTTGTGAGCTATTCTGTCTACACACCCTTCATGAGAAAGGCTGCAATCTGCCCCTTGTCCTCAAATCTTTCAGACTCCAGGACAGAGCCTAGCCTGTCTGCCTGAGTGTATCTGTCTGTCTATGGAGTGTACATTGACAGGCAGTGTGATCAAAAGGCATCACTTTAGGCTAAATGGGACTGTGTATATCCTCTAGGTTCAGTAGGTAAGGAGAAAGCTTGGGTCCATCTTGCCCCCCTCCTCCAACTGCTATTGGGAAAAGGCTTTTGATGAGTACTCACTCAGAGCAGGGAGGAACATCCCATGGGGGCAGAAGAATGGGCTATCTGAGGACAAGAGATAATTGGGACATAGAAGTCATCGCATCCATGTATTTATCTCTCCATCTCAACCCAGTAGAGTTTATCTTAGGGACAGGCTTGGACATGGCTCTTTTCACAACAGAGCCCCAGCCTTTCACTCCAGAATAATAACGCCACAAGGCTTCTGGGGACAGAACCATGCAAGTTCCAAATGCAAAGGAATGTCAGGAAGTAAGAGCCCATCACTCTTGGTGTGGCCCTTGTCCTATCTGCTCTGCCTGTGCTGTGGTGTTAGGACGGTCTGCTTAGGAAGGACCAGGGGCTGGCCTCCTTTATGCATGCCTCTCTCCAGGCCTGAAAATGAGACCCAAGCCACCCCACCATGCTGCCGTGAGCAGATATATTTCAATTTCTTTAAGCTTGGGTGACATCCTTGGATGAGGAGCTCTAAGTACCAAGAATTATTGTTATTACTGCATAGTTACTGCCTAGCATGCAGCGAATTACCCTGTCCTGCTGTGTTGAAGATGTATAGTGATGGGGAAGTGTGGAGGGAGGAGAGGCATGGAGACCGCAGGAGGAAGCAGAATGAAGCGTGCTAAAGAGGAGCAGGGACTAGGAGGACCCCATGTGTAGAGGCCTCCATCAGGGTCATACTTATAGCCAAAGGCAAGAAGTGCTTCCTTCCCACCAAGCTAACACAGGATGCTATGAAGATGTGGAGATCAGAAACCCATTATCCAGCTTAGAAGCATGGCTTTAAATCCCAACCTCAAGACTTGCTGTGTGCCTTAGACAAATGTGTGAGCCTGTTGGGGTCTCGGTGTATAGTAGCAGGCACCCAGAATTGCAGAAATTATTACTATTGTCAATATTCTTGCTATTAGTAGGACCGGATCCAGTGGCCAGTGAATCACAGCAGGAACTGGTTCATGTTCAGAAATATCCTTTTCCAACAGAGTCGGGATTTCCTGGAGGGACCACCAAAGGCCACCAAAGGAGAAATAAGAGCCCACAGGCAGTACAGAAATGTCAGAATGGGTCCAATGATACCCCCAAGAATTGCCAAGGACCTCCACTGGGAACCTCAAAACCAGAGATGATTGAGAAATGGGTCTTGCAAAAAGCAAAAAGCAAAAAATAAAAAGCCTTGGAATTATTTGTGGAAGAGAAACCAATGTGGCCCATGATGTATCACTGAGGATAAGAGCAATGCCCCTGCTCATTGCTCTAGCAAGACTTTTGAACAGAAATGCTGCCTATGGTACCCCTGCTTCCTCTCCAAGGCAGTAGAAATAGATGTGGGGCTGAGGGCCCCTATTGCAACTAATGGCATCTCTGCTTCCAGCATGGCATGAGAGGCTGGAGCAGTTGTGTGATTGGATAGCCATGTTCCAAGATGTGTAGAGCCTCAGGACGTCTACTGTGAGACATATTACCCTGGTACTGCTGACTAAGAGTTAATGATGGAGGAGTGAGGTGCCCAGGGATGTGTAAAAGAGGAGTGGCAGGACAATGCCCTAAGAAGACAGAGGATGCAGAGCATCCCAAGCCCTTTCTGCTTCAGCGGTCAGAAGGATTGACACCTTCCAGGGAAGCCTGGGGCAACTTGACATCAGAGGCTCTGGTCTAGAATGTAGATCTACCCTACTTCCAGTGTGGTACATGCAAGTGTTTTTCCAATGCTGTAAACCTAGATGGAAATGTTCAAGTCTTAATAACTAGTTTCCCCATCCACAAATGGGCTGAGGTTGGTTGTTGAATTATTCCCACCCAATTGTTGGCATCAATTTTATGATCTGAAGTCATGTCAGTAAAAGCACGGTTAGGACCTCAGTGACATGAATGAATTCAAAACAATAAATTCTGCCTTGAATAAAGCCACCATTCGGGTAGGGGCAGGGATTACTGTGCTATTGGGTATACCAGCTGCCTTTCTCCTCCTGGCCTCTTCTTATCTTACTGTTTTCCTTTCTTTCCTCCCTAAGCACTGTGAAGGGAGAGGGCACCTAGAGTCAGCAAGCTTGCCAGGCCCCAAATACAGTCTACAAAAGAACACAAGATAAACAAGAGACCATCACCAACTGTGTGGCCCTTCTCCTACTCCAGGAATGAGTGGGTAACAGCCACTCCTGGGGCATTAGTCAAATGACACCTTTCTCCATTTTCCTTTCAAGGTCTCCAGAATTATTCCACAAACACATCTCTCCATCAAACCAACAACACAGAACAAAACCACTTTTTACAAAAAGGGCCCCCCTTCAGTAGAATGGCTATGGGTGCCTGGAACATAAAGTCTACTGGTGTATTTTTTTTAATCTTATCTATTCCAGGACAAGGACACTCTCAGGGTTGAGGGACTCATGGATCTCCCAAAGGATTAGATGAGCCCATGCACAGCATCTTGGGACGAAGCTGTTGTGACACCTCCTTCCCCCCAGCCAAACCTTTCATGAGTTAGTGTAGTTTCAGAAACACAGCTGTCATCTCTGGAGGTGGCAGTCTTGTGGGGATATAAATCAGGGACAGGGGTGTGTGAATGTTCAGTCCCACTACCATAGGGGCTTTGGGAATTTGATGAACACATCTGTCACCTGTCTGTGGAGATGAACCTATGAGACCCCATTACTGTGTAAGAACATGACCGTGTGCCTGGGCTGCCTCTCCACACTGAAGTCGGAGGATTGTTAACACACAAGTGGGCAGTACCATGCTATCCTCATCCCATGTAGTGTCATCATCATGTGCCATGGCATGCAGACACGCAGTGGCGAAAACCAACGAAGGAACAAGGTCCGCTGGACTAAAAGTTTTCAACGGATGCCCTTTCGGTTCTTTGCAAAAACCACTAGAGAAGTGACTTTCGTGGCACTCAAATGACAGGAGCAGACGCTTCCGTCCATTTGGAGGTTTTTAGGGAAAGCTGCACGCTGCAGGTTGAGCTCAGTCTGACCCTCACCCCCCACTTCCCCTTCTCTCGGTTGGCTTTGAGGAAACATGGTTCTCAGTTTGAGAATTCATCTTGTCTGATTAATGATGTGTGAACAGGGATTTCTGCCTCGTCTTCCTCCTCTTGTCTGTTTTATTCAGTTGTTTGCTGTGCTACAACCCTGCGGATAGATGGTTCTGCCATGATAAATGTAAAGTTTGCATAAGCCATGTAACAGCAGGACAGCCTATTATCACTGTACATTTTCCATGGCTGTGCAAACCTCTGTAGGCTATTTTATTGCTAATAGATCCACAGAGAAACAGTAGTGATTTTACGACTCTTTTTAAAATGGAAATTCATGTTTGAGAAATACAACTGGGAGGAAACAGATGTAAACCACTTAAGCGTTTGCAGAAAATTGAGATGCACACTCTTATTTACAGACCTCCATCGCCTCCATCGCTTTATTTTCAGAATTAAAATAAGCAATCTGTTTACCATGGGAAATGAGAAACTGTAAACTTGTTGTTTTTCCTTTTACATGGCAATGGCCGCCATCGTTGGGTTTAATGGCAGAGCTGAAGCAGGGTGGCATTTTTCCCCCTCAGATTTTATTGTCTATAACACATTCCCTCTGTAATCTGCCTGAGAGGTAGGCAAGTGGGAAAGGCTTTAGTATAACTATATGTCTGAATTCGTATTATACTTTAACAGCTCAAATGATTACCAGACACATTAGAGGGATTTTAACTGGGTATTTAACAGTACCTGGAAATTGCTTAAAATACTGGAGGAGTCAGCCCTCACCAAACTGCTTTTCTCTGTCAGAACACAGAAGCACAACCCATCTGAAACCATGTATTCTTACCATGTTCCAATTTTCTCACAGCTAAAGGAAGGCTGACTAGTGTCCTGTTGCTCAGGGCACCTTTCCATGGCTACCTGGAGGCCTCTCTGGCTTTTTGACTTTCCAGTTTATTTTTCTAGTTTTGATCTATATCTTTTCTGTTAATGGTAAATATA